TGAAAAACTGTGTGTTTGTAGGAAACAATTACAATTAAAAACCATTATAAAGACTTTTTAACTTCAAGCCATAGCTTTCGACTAAAATATGAGTCCTTTAACCATAGTATTACCTTCTACCTAATATGTAATCTTTGCATTACTCAATATTGTTGTATCTTTAATAGCAGGCATGAAGTTACAGCTTGCCACTAGATATATAAATATGGAAGAATAATTTGTATTGTAACAAAATGTAAAATTTTGAGTGGGTACATTTGCTAAATGGATAGGTTGTGGGTTTGAATCCCAGGCAGTAAACTGATAAACATGCTGATAACATGCTGATAACATGCTTTTCTTGAATGCACTGTAAGTTATTTTGGCTAAAAGTTTCCAGTTGCCAGTTGAATTAAATTTTGCAGAACTCTATTACAGATTGTTAATGCTAGATTATTAATGCCAAATCAACAGATTTCTTGCTTATCGACTGGTTTTTGGACTACCCATTTACATCTACTGTCAGTGCAACAGTGTTTTATCTGTCGTCTTATGCAACATAGCTGCTGCGAAAGGTCTCTTCATGCTTGTGAAATTCTAATGTCAGGATAATTTGTCTTGGATAAGCTTAATGAGGCTATCTGTGTCTTTTGCTGGTGTTACGTGGCCGATGTTGGAGACACTTTCTCCTTTTGGCCCCAAACAGATCTCAGGTTGCAGGGGCTAGTCTGTTTCACAAAGCTGGGCACGTTTGTCTGGGTAACTCAAATCATTGGGCCATGAGCTGTGGAAAAAGACTGAGTCATCCGGCTGCAGATCTTCTCTCCAGCGGAGCTGTGCTCTGGGAAATGGCGTGGACAGCAGTGCAGGATGATACACGCTATGTCAGCCGTACCGCATGTGCTAGACCGTCCACAGCCATGTAGTCGCTTGGCAGGCACCCACATGCAGAAATTCTCACAGTATCAAGCCAAGACGAAAAGCCAAGACATACAGCTTCACCCTCAGAATCCAGTTCTCCTGCGCGTTTCTCCATTTTGCTCCAGAAATACAAAAATTGGATTCCTCTGGGTATCTCATGCGTATTCTTAGACTCACCGTTTAATTTGATAATGAGCATGTAGGGCGCTGTAGAGTACGGTTATGGTTAGTAGCCAGGCTAATGTTACTGGCAAGTTCATTATGAAATAGATCCAGTTACTCATTAGCTTCAATGGCAGAAAGATTAAGTTGCAAGTGTTGTCAAGTTGCTTTAGTTAAAGTTGTGCAGACAGATGCTGTCTGTGTCTGTTGATTTTTATGTGTCTCTGGCCTATAGCCATGGGCCCGTATTTTATATTTAGAAAATTGCACACTTCAAAATGACATGAAAAAAATGTAGATGACGTATTAGAAAAATTGTTTATTTTTTTTAAAAACTTTTATCACTCTATATTACGGTATTGCATTACATTACAAAATAGGTTAAAATGTAAAATATAGTTCTGGGGGCTGTTTCATAAAGGACGCTTAGAAAAGCTGGGATTAAAGTCCAAAACCTGGTTATTCTTATTGCACGCTTATTCTTAAGCAGCCCTTAATGTCAATCATGGATCATATCGATCCACCATTGCAAACAGCAAATATATTTGTGCTGTTTAATGCATTTGAGACGTTGTGTTTTCCAAAGTGCAGGACTGACAAGTCACAGGTATATTCTCCATTTGTAAATGTTAGAAAGTCATGCAAATATATCCTTTTTTTTGTCAGGTGTGGGCGAGGCTTATGCGAGTGAACGAGCGCATGCGTGCTAAACAGACTGAGTGCAATAGAATCAACCCTCTACATTGCGAGTAAATCACTCGCATATGCGACTAAATCTTACTCTGGGCGACTAAATGACTCTGCAGGACATGGAGGCGCCAGCGCGAGCACTTGCTTTTTTTTGTAAGAACAGCGGAAACTTAAAAATACGCCGTCATTTTTGCTCATAAAGGTAATAGTATACATCATTCGGAACTGCAAAGGGTCTGCTTGTATTTTTCAATTGCCAAGGTGTCCGTAGAGGGCTGAGAATAATAGCACAATACTTCGGAGTAAAATATACATTCTGTTAAAATATTTGTTATTGGACATTAAATGTGACACATGTAGAATTTTAAACCTACATATAAGTGTACGTTTGAATGATAGCAGTAACTGTAAATCAAATGTAAGGTAGCTAATACAGCTCTAATAACTAGTTCAAATGTGTTAATGTGTATTCCTCTTACTAGTTAAAATGTACTCTGTTTTCTATCATTTATTTCATTTTAACTTTTTAATTTAGTGCTTTAAAGAGCAATTTTAGATATGTAATGTTTTAATATTCTACTAATAACCATAAAAGGTACAGCTGTCAAAAAACCATGAAAAGCTGCATGGCTAGAAACGGCTGATCAACTGAATGTGCAAGTAGCAACTATGTTAAAATGTTTTCATATATCTTAAAACTGTTATTATTAATCTTAAGCACAATATAGTTGTATAGTTAAATATAGTTGATTGTAGCCTATATTTGTATTTATTAGATTTATTATTTAAGTTGCATTTTTTTGTATACTTGTATTTTTGGACTGATAATAAAGTCCAATGATTGTATGTGTGAGAGTCATTGCATTCCTATTGGTCAGAGCTCAGCTTAGCCTGACAGTTAGCCTGCTCTTGACCAGATTAGTTTCCCAGCATAATTTGCCACAGTGACTGAGCTTGAGCTATGGTAAATTTGCTTTATGAAACCAAATCAAGTGACAATAAATCAGACTAACTGATAAAAGCCTGTATTATTTGGTAAACTTGTTTTATGAAACAGCCCCCTGGTAACTAAACTAAACTAAACTAAACTAAACTAAACTAAACTAAACTAAACTAAACTAAACTAAACTAAACTAAACTAAACTAAACTAAACTAAACTAAACTAAACTAAACTAAACTAAACTAAACTAAACTAAACTAAACTAAACTAAACTAAACTAAACTAAACTAAACTAAACTAAACTAAACTAAACTAAACTAAACTAAACTAAACTAAACTAAACTAAACTATAAAACACCAGAATAAATAATTTTTTTTGAATGTATTTTAAAATTTTCTATATATTTAATTGAATTTAAAATAATATATATTTTTGTAAATAACTGGTCGTTTTGGAGACTGAAGGTAGGTAATCACTTATGGAGATGCCCCGATCTGTGGCATGTTGCCAACAAGACCAGACATCAAACTTTCATTGTATAACCTGTACAATGCTGCATTTGTTTACAGGTCTCTGTGTTGCTGTCCTGCTTTCGGGAAGCAAACCTGCGGTATCATATGCTGTAGGTTTGAGGAAGTCAATCTTTTAGAAGAAAAATATCTTTTCTCCAATCTCCACGAGTTTCTGTTTTGTCTGCATTTCTTTACTGTGTTGCTTCTTGTCCACCTTATGTGTTTATCTCATGTCTGGTAAATGGAGGCTTCAGCCCACACGGATGTTACTACAGAGTCATTGCCGATCTGGATTGCGGTTGGTCAACTTGTTCTAAAGCTGAGCGTTAAGCATCCATCCATCTCCTCCAACTCAAATGCAGCTGCATCTCATTCCATTGTGTGTTTACTTCCAGTTATTCATGAGACAGACAGATCCTCCTTTCATCAGGCCTGATAATCTATGGAAGAGACGGGGGTCGGGTCTGTGCCCGTACTCGTCCGTCACACTTTAATATGGATGGCGTGACCTACATGTCATCCCCACAGCCACCTCTGCTCTCCAGGTCAGGGGGATTCTGGACGATATCTGACCCTTTTTTCACAACATGCCTCTCTTCACCCACTCAGTCCGTCCAGTTTCTCCCTCCCATGAGTCACTTGGCAGTTAGTAGTAAGTCACAGGAAGTCAGTTGGATTTTTACTGTCTTTTGGAGCTCAAGGCCACACATGGTTTTAGTCTCTCAAGACTTTAGAAGCTTAATTCACCTGACCTAAATATACAGTAAGAGCAGATGCAACACAGAATCAGGCTTCTGGTGTAAACAGATGTGCTGTGGAACATTAATTCACCTTCACAAGTGTATATAAATAAGGTTGGTTGCTTTGTGTTGTGTTAAAAAGCTCTCCTATATATGGAGTTCCAAATGAATGTTTGGGAGAAGCTTGTTTGTATATTGATCAATCATAACACAAGGTTGTTTAACTTACTGTACTCCTGTGATAATTTATCTAGCATTTGATTCATGATTTACTGGTTTTCAATTCGTTACTAAACTGAGTGTTTTTGTTTTGCTTTGTTTGGCTTTGCTTTCTTTGTTTTTTGTTTTTGTATAATTTTACTTTGTTTTGTTTTTTGTTCAATGTTTGTTTTTGCTTTTACTTTGTATTGCTTTTGCTGTTTAGTTTAGTTTTTGTTTGTTTTGTTTCACTTTTTGTTTTTGCATTTTTACTGTGTTGCTTTTGTTTTGTTTTGCCTTTTGTTTCGTTCTTGCTTTTGCTTTGTTTTGATTTTGTTTTGTTTTCTTTCATTTGCTTTGTTTTGCTCCGTTTCATTTTTATTTTTGCTTTTTTACTTTGTGTTGCTTTTGCTATGTTTTGTTTTATTGTGTTTTGCTTTGCTTTATTTGTTTTTTATTGTTTCGCTTTGTTTTGCTTTTTGTAAAAAATTTAGAAAAATATAATCAGTCATCTAAATATCACAACATGAAAGTAACATGACTACTTTTACCAAATGTTGCAATTATTTGTCTATGTATATATCTTAAATATTGTAATGTAATGTAATGAATCATGATTTATTTGTTTCTTTGAATATGAATTAGCAGGATTTTTAATCAATGCACTGAGAAAACAGTTTGACAGTTAAAAAGTGCACTAAATTCATATATTCGTAAAGAGAAACCATACTTTGGTCCATCATATGGATATACGGTCTATATCATATCATATCGTCAAACATAGCTCTGTAAATTTTTTAACATTTATTAGATTTTCAGCAGGATGATCTCTTGTTTTGTTTTGTTTTTTCTTTAGGAGAGGAAAAAAGCACAGTATTATCCTGAGAACACAGCTGTCTGTCAGAGTCCATGCCAGCATAGGTGAGTAACAAGATGCCTTTGCGCTTCAAATAAACTATAAATGGTGAGAAAAACATTTAGTACTCAGTCTTCACCCTTTAAAATTTCTGGCTTAGTCAGCAGATTCTGGGTGCATTAGATTGTTTAGGAATTCTTTTCTCATTTGTTGCTTGTTTGATGACGGATGTGTAAATTATACGTACCGAAGCCCCTGCTTGATTTTTACTGTGTGGTAAAGTTTTCCTGTTGCTAATAGGCCCTCACGCCACAACGTTTATGATCTAGTTTAAATATGTTCCATGCTTGATTTCTCAATCGATATAAAACAGCTAATGCAGCAACTTTATATGAATGCCAGGGTAATGCTTCACACACACACACACACACACACACACACCTCAGCTTGTGTCAAGTATATTGGAGTTTTAAAACATTAAAATCTAATTCTGTTTTGGTTAGAAGGCTTTTTTAAATTTATAATGTGTGTGATTAGTTTTAAAAACACTCACAAATATGCCATGGTAACATCTTCCTGCCAGAATATAAAAAAAAGAATAACTGTAGCATGTTTGGACTCACATTATATTGCATAGTTACTGTATATTTCTTCACAATCTCGTTGTTTATCTCATGTCCCTAAACCCTGTTGACAGAATCAGGCTTCATTACCTCCGTAAGCCTTATCCCAGATTAACATCTGTGTCATTGTGTGGAAGCAGGACGGCTATGGCTATCTCTGTGTCACGAAGGATTAAGTGTCACAGACAGTACCCACAAAACCCATTAAACATATAAACCGTGTAGTTTCTCTGGAAGTTTACTATGTAACTCACTTCAGAGGTTTATGTTACCCCTGTGACTCTTAGTCTCAGACAGCACACCCACGAAACACAGTATATGGACCGTCTGATGCTCACTGGACATAAAAATGGCTTTTATCAGTGTGCTTGAAAGTTATGTTTTACAAGTTACCAGGCTGCCACAGTAGCTGGGTTTCCATCTGCTAGTATTAGTTTTTTTTTTTTAAAGAAAACAAGCAGTAAATGAATAGAGTGCAAGTCTAAAAGGGACAATTTTTTTTAAAGAATAGAATTAGAATAGAGAGTGCTAGAGTCTTGAAGATGCTCGGATTGAGTTGGGCAGGTCATTCCACCAGGAGGGAACATTTAATTTAAAAGTCCGTGAAAGTGATTTTGTGCCTCTTTGGGATGGCACAATAAAGCACCGTTCACTTGCAGAACGCAAGCTTCTAGAGGGCACATAATCTGAAGTAATGAATTTAGGTAAAGGGGTGCAGAGCCAGTGGGGGTTTTGGTTTTGTAGGCAAACATTAATGCCTTGAACTTTATGCGAGCAGCTATTGGTAGCCAGTGCAAATTGATAAACAGAGGTGTGATGTGCATTCTTTTTGGCTCATTAAAAATTAAACTTGCTGCCTCGTGCACTGCAAAGTGTTTATATATATATATATATGACATTTTATATATATGTCACATTTTTTGGATGATTCTTGAACACACACAGACAGACAGATGTTATTGGGGAAGTTGTGGCCTAATGGTTAGAGAGTCGGACTCATAACCCAAAGGTTGTGGGTTCGAGTCTCGTACCGGCAGGGATTGTAGGTGGGGGGAGTGAATGTACAGTGCTCTCTCCCACCTTCAATACCATGACTGAGGTGCCCTTGAGCAATGCAGCGTAGCAGATCTATTCCGCCAAGACCAAATACATTAACATTGTCATGTACATTACCATGCCAATCCCTCCGAGAGTTGTCATGACAGAAATGTAGTTAGTTAACAAATGGAATGTAGTAATTTAAGTAATGGAATGTAATATTAATGTAGTAATGTTAACAAATGAAACCTTATTCTAAAGTGTTACTGAAAATGTAAATATTTTTAGAAAATAATATTTAACAGTTTTTACCTGTGAAGTGCACTTTTTTATTTAACAGGCCTAAAAAAATTGAGTTTTTTTTAACTCAAATTTTATGACATCAAATATTTCGAAAGATTCAAAGTTTTGTTTGAGATACTAGCACACCTTTATTTAAGCTTTTAAAGTGATCTGATTTCACATTTACCCACCCTTAAACATCCTCTACAACTGCGGTTGGCTGCTTTACATATCAGTCAGTTGGCTTTTTCATGTCTAAATGGGCGGTTCTTTGTTGGAATAATCCGCAATGTGGACCAGACTTCATGCCGACAGTCAAACGTCTAAGTGATTCACTATCGTTGTCTACAGGAACTGGTAGTCGGTGTTTAAGACAAGTGTGTGTCTGTAGCGAGCAGTATAAACTTAGTGGCATGCTGCACTGCAGCCAAGCACACGTGGCTCGTACGGTTTTCCCTCTCCAGACTGCAGGGGAAAATATATCCGTCAGCCTGCAAAAGCCATTAAGCTTAGAACTGTCAGATTTTAATTTGTACGTTTTGCAAAAGTGTTATTTAAGGGTACCAGGGACAAAAATTGCCCAATGAAAGAAGTGCAGTTATCTCTCACAGTCAACTCAATTTACCGATCCTGCGTGCCTGACGGATTGCGGCACCGTTTGGGAACTCCAAAGCTGTTCTGCTAGGGGTATTTTGGTCCAAAAATAAAGTTGCTGAAACTCCTGGCAAGGTCTGAGAATCTGTTGAGAGAGATTTTACGAACCAGACCTGCTCAGACACCTGCCTGCGAGTAATTTTCCCTTTCGCTCTCTCGCAATTTGCAAACCATGAAAGAGGGCAGCAGCTTAGCAAAAGTACCTCTAGTAGCAAACCCTTCCGAGAAGCTTCACCTATCAACAGCTCTGAACGTTTGCTTGTTGATTTGTGTCTTGATAACCTGCTTTGAGTCACTACGTTGTTTGTCTCTGTGGAATCAATGTTCCATATCTATGATTTAAACCCATATGGAAAGAGCAGCTTGATAAGAGAACCACTATGCTCTGCAGATGTTGCCTTGCCTCTCTTGTTGAATTTTTTTCTTGCCATTCTATCCTCTGTCCCGGGACCTGTCCTAAACCACGCTGCATTCCTTGTAGCAATGATGGGATCGCTTTTCTGACCAGCTGTGTGCTTGTGTGATTGAAGGCCAATTTGGGTCAAAGGTGGGAGGTAAGGGCTGGGTAAGACTCTCTCTCGCTCTCTAAGCGGATGACCCAAGATGACAGCTGCTGCTCTTCAGGCTTAATGTGTCTCTCCGTTTTTGTGAGCAGGACGACTATTTTGAATGAGTTTTGTTGTGTATTTGCAGTTTTCATTAGATTTTTAGTTTGTTTTAGCGACATTTTGTGATTTTTTAAATTAGTTAGTTTTTTCAAGATATTTTAATTATGCTTCATTTTTATTTATGCTTCATATATATTTTTTATTTTATTTTAGTACTTCAACCTATTTTATTTCAGTTAGTTGCCAATGCAACATTTCATATTTTCATTGTTTATTTAATTTAATTTAATTTAATTTTATTTATTTTAATGAAAAGATGTTTTAATAGTTTTAGTTTTGGTTAACAATAACAATACTGGTTAATGTTAATAAAATATTTTTAAAACATGCTTTGTGGTTTACATTGTTTTTGAATGAAGAAAATAATCAGTTTCAACTTTCAAATTGATCAGCCACTTATTACTGACTATTTATTGTCTTTTTGAAGCAGTGTTTACTTAATTGTAAATTTGTTTTCATGTATTATTTATTTATAATTATTAATCCACATTAATGTTTAAATAGTTTAAAGCTGAACGTATTCAAATCAAATTCGATTTTGTTGTTGCACTGAAATTGGTAATTTCACTTTTGGATTTAAATTTGGTATGGTAGACTAGTGTAAACACTCGATGTATATTGTGTTCAAAATAAATTCAAAGATTAAATTAATCCATTTTGCATGATTTTTATTTGCACATTCTTTATCAAAGAACTAGTATGCACCGAGGTGGTGCTAAAATTGGTCCTGAAATGGTTTATTTATTTTTTCCAGTTAGATCAATTACAGCCTTATATTTGTCACTGCATTTGAACTTTAAGAGTTAAAATCAACTGCAGTTTATGACTGCAGGTTTTATGTGATGTCAGTCATGTATTGTTAATCATGCATCATCATAATTGGTGCCAAATAATTTGATCCACTGATCCTGATAGAACAACTATTTTCTTGCACTTGTCTGGGCTCATTAGCAAAACCTTTTGCACTTGTGCAGTTAAGCCTGATTTATATTTTCCATGTCCATGCTGACCGCTTCATTAAATGACAGGAGTGTTTGGCTACTGCTGTGGCTACTGCTGTGCCCAGTATGAGCTCAATGACCTCAATGTTTTGACTGTCCATCATTATTATTATGGGAAGTTACATGGGTCAACTATGTAAGCTTGAGTCTAATGGGTTCTAGACCAGGGTTTTTAAAAACATTTTGTTGCCAAGGACCCCCAAATGTGAAGGGTATCCCTTGTGAGTGGTCCCATTCTGAAAATGTAAAGGCGGTTACATTTCTTTTTTTTTTGTATGATGAGAAAGTCGTATTATAAAGACAAAAAGTAATTATTTCCAAAATTAAATAATTTACTTTTACTTTGTCATTTAACTAAAGCAAAATGTTGAAATATGTTAAAATATTATTTAAAAGTATTCACAGTTTAAGTAGAAATTTTCATTTCTTTTTATTAAAAAATCCATACATACAAAGAAAACAATACAAATAAGTGCAGAAATTAAGGCCCTGTCCACACGAACGTGGTTACTTTTAAAACCGCAGCCTTTTCTATGCTGTTTGGCCGTTCGTCCACACGCAAACACAGCACCAGGTCACTAAAACCGAACATTTTTGAAAATGCCTGCCAGGGTGAAGATTTTCAAAAACTCCGGTTGCAGTGTTATCGTGTAGACAGCGAAACCGGAGTTTTTGGCTTGTGACGTCGGAGCCTGCGCTGTTATCTCTGCCTACTGCAAACTTTTTCAGGCTTCTGATTGGCCAATGTGTCTTTACGGTGGAGATTATATTGCCACCTGTTGGTTTGGCATGCTCTTGA